TGAATCTATAGCGATCTGAATTCTCTGAGTGCGGATTCTTGTGTGCCCTAGACTTTTGACTACATAAGTATCTATACTCTAATAATTCAGCTTACTCCAAATGGAACCATCCATATCAAAGATGGGTGGTATCTCCACGCTTGGGGGAATGCTAGTTTTCAGAAGTACATAAAAGCTTTCAGATGAAGCAAAATCTAATGGGATGGGAGAAGTGAGATAACCTACTGAGGAATGAGCATGCCCAGTGATTATGGAAAGCTGACTACTATGGGAGGAGAAAATGGAAAACTCAAGTGATGGTGGTGTGCAAGTAGAATCACTTGGAAGTGGGCCTAGGTGGCTGAAACCCTGAATAATAATGCTTGTACTGCAATGTTTTGTTGGAGATCTCATTTGCTAATCCAGTTGCTACAACTGTCAATGCCACAAATAGCATTTAAAGTGCCAAGAGAGTGCTGAGCCCATCTGTACAGAATAGCCATTGGATAACAAATGCAGAGCTCTGAATTTATAAAGCCTTTGGGTGCTGTATACGTCTCTAAGACCTCGGGGATGCAGATGGTACTTTTATGATCTATTAACATGTTGGGAGGAAACACCTGACTATTGTTTGTTAGGGCAATAGCCTAATATACAGATGTTGACTGTTTGCTTATACTTATTATACAAGATAAAATTCTGAAAATGTGCCCAATAACCTGTCACAGAGGTTCAAATGGTAAAAGCAGGATAGCAAAAGTTGCCTTTTGATTTTACACGCACATGAAATTTTTAGTTTCAGCCACTTCCTTGCATCCCTCCCCATTTGTGGCTTAGCAAAAGTGTTCCGTAACAATGAAGTGATGGTTACTGATAGTGTTGCCCCATCTTGTGGATTCTTGCAGTGACTGCACTCAAGTCACTGTTGTAAAAATATTTTCATCATTAAGGGCAAGATTTTATCACAGCAGTGGCTTTAAGTGAGTCAAAGCCAGGGACTCAATTTAGATTTCAGTAGGCAGAAAAATATGCAGCAGAATGTAAGGGACCACTTATGAGTACAAGATTAAATTACGAAAAAGCAGAGTTCTTGTGGTTGCTTCATTTAAAAAAGCTAATAACATTACAGGTCAGTTACCCCTCAAAAATCTCAAGGGAAAGTTTGCTTTAACATCTGGAACCAGTAGAAGAAACTACAAAGCTGCATGAATCGCACGGGCAAATAAAAGTTTGGTTTTCCCTTCTTACCAGGATTGAGGGTATAAAACCCTGGAAATCATGATTATACTATCATCACTTCCTGGTGCAATGAGATAGATCAAGAGTGAGCAGATGATTTTTTAATGATGGGTAGTTTCCTTTTCTCTAATATTTAGAAACTCCTGCAGCTAAACCAGTGAGGTCCTTGAAATGCAAATGTTTTGACAAAGAAATTCTTCTACTTGCATCTTTCAAAGAGACAAAGATGGGGAAGGTGGGAAAAAGAAGAGATGAATACTGATTCAAAAAAGCTATGGACATGGGAACACCAGTCAGAGATCAGAGGATGGCACTGCATAAGGACAGCATGGTGGCTGCTTATATACATTTACAGGCATCAGATGCCAAGAGCATGAACACTTTATTTCTTCTTACAACTGAATATGTAATGACAATCAATGGCAGCAGTGTCACCTGTGTGACCGTGTCAATTGTTACTGTGGCTGATCTCTCAAGCAGCCAGACAACAGGCACCTGCCATTGCTACAAACAACTGTACAAGCTCCTGTGCTATACATCCGTTGAGCTAGGAAACAGGGAATTGAAACTTTTTTCATCAGTCTTCATCTATAATACATTGGGTGAGCTTTATGGTGCTTTTCTTTGGGGTTATTTACATTTGTGTGTATGTGTGTATTATTAGATACATAGCATTTCTTGACAAAAAGCGGGGGGAGTCTTTTTAAGAGAAAACTAGCATGTCAGAAAGAGGACTAGAACCTGATATTAGCTGTCGATATGACAGCAAATGTTCCTCTATGGTAGAAGAGTTAGGTGAGCTCTCACCTGCACCTGCTTGTAGCCGACACTTTTCCTGAGCCTCTTTGTATTTTGGCCCTAGCAGCAGAGTATAACAGCTCTTTCAATTTACCATGAAATAAACAACATAGCATTACTCTGAGGCATTGTGGGGAAATTAAATGCAGCCTGTAATCACCTGTCCCACTGCTGCCTGCATAGGGTGGCCATTTACCTATCATTCTCTCTCTCTCTCTCTCTCTCTCTCACACACACACACACACACACAGAGAGAGAGAGAGAGAGAGAGAGAGAGAGAGAGAGAGAGAGAGAGAGAGAGAGAACATCAACATGAAAGAAGGGACAGGGTTATGCCAACTTTTCATATACCAATTATATCTATAGCTGAAAATTTAGAAATCTGTGACATTTTAAAGGTGAATATGCTACATTCACCCTAATGGGGAAGACTGTTATTGGGTAATGTGACAGTCACTTGTGCCTGCTCACTCTGCTATCCATTCTTATGATTCTTCATCTTTAAACTGGACTTGGGCTGGATGACACCCCCTCCCTCCCACACCACCCTCATATAGAAGCCAGCTTCAAATCCAAAGACTGATAGCTCTACAAATAGAGGACTATCCTTTGTAAAGTAAGACACATAGCTACCCTGATGTAAAAGATGTAGAGACCATCCAAATGTGGGGTCCTTTTGCTCCTCTAACGTGGAACTGGCTGTGACCTGCAGTCTAAAGTGGTTCAGAACAAGCATAGGCTTAATACCAGTAAAAATTGATTATGACTGTTAGAGCACCTGCTTTGCATGCAAAAGGTCCCAGGTTTGTTCCTCAACATCTGAGGTCTGGGCCACATCTTTACCTGAAGCCTTGGTGAGCTACTGCCAGTCAAGAAGACAAAGGTGGGCTAGATAGACCAGGGATGGACTGACTTAATGTAAGTGTCAGAGGCCTGTTCTCTGTCACACACACCCTTTTCTCCTTCCAAGTAAATCAAGAAAAATGGCTTCTAACTACAGTCTTTACTAGGAGAAGGTGCAGGGAATTCTTATTTGATTTGCAGATGACACAAAAATGGGTGAAATAGCTAATACAATGGAAGATAGAAACAAAATTCAAAATTTGGCATTTGATAGGTTTGAGTGCTCAGCTGAAAACAACAGAATGAAATTTAATAGGGACAAATGCCAAATTCTGCCCCTTGGAAAAATAAGCAAAAATGTATGGTTACAATACAGGGAACACTTGTCTCAACAATACTGCAAGCAAGCAGCATCTTGAAATGGTTGTAGATCACAAGCTGGATATGAATTTTAAAAAGGGATGCAGCTGCAAAAAAGGCAAATGCTTTCACTTCCCAATTATTTGAAGTACAGTGGTACCTTGGCTCACGAACGCCTTGGCTCATGAACAAAAATTTCATGAAAATTTTGACTTGGGTCAAGAACTCCGCTTTGGGTGGCTACCAAGATCGCAGACATCTCCCCACCCCCCCTAATGGGGAGATGGCCACGATCGCAGTTGCGCTTGTGCAGGGAACACATGCGTGATCATGGCTGTGCTGTGCTGCGCCCGTCTTTCCTGCAGGAGCGCACCCGTGATCACGCACGTCTTCCCTGCACGAACGCAGCTGCGATCCTGGCCCTCTTCCCACTCGGGCGGTGGGGGGGTGGGGAGATGGCAGCGATCGTGCTGGTTGTGGGGGGGAAGATGGCCAAGATTACACCCATCTTTCCTGCAGAAGTGCGCCCATGCCAGGGTTTCTTGTATCTTGTATTCTGGCTGAACATCAAGAAACACTTCTTAGAGCAATATGAAAATGGCTTCTAGAGTTGGATGAGTTCAATGTTCTTAAATCTAACATTAAGATGAGTCTTACTAAATTCAGCCCTGACATTTCTCTGTTTTAGGTTTCATGGCCTTTAGGATATTCTCTCTCAGGAATGGAATTTCCAGTGGAATCAAATATATGATGAGTCTGTGGCTAAAAAACAAAATTTCTCACAAGCTTTTCCTGTTATCATAAAGGAAAACTATCAGGCAAGTGGCTGACCAAAGGCCTCTGTAAGGTATGCAAAATGCAGAAAAGATGAGGACAAGCACATAAGTCTTCTCTAAAAGGTATGCAAAGTTTTGCAATGGTCACTTCTGTCACTTAGAAAAGGGCTGGGTGGTGGTGAGGGGGGAGACCAGAAAGGGGCAATATGATGTGTGGGAATATCGTGTAAGCTGATGTGAAAAACCAGCATATAGATTTTGAAGAATCATCAGTAGTTAGGATATATGGTACTCAAATGATTAATAGCAAGCATATAGCAAATATTTCATTATGAATGTTGAATAGCTTGTAGTATTTCATCCAGATTTTAGTAGGACTGTTTTTGTTTTTTGGATCAAACAAATTTAAGCACAAAATAAATACAGAGATAGAACTATGAATGAATGAAAGTTTTTATTCATAATGCATTTAAATATTTGGTGTGCAGATAGTTCTGTTGCAAACCTTGCTCTTTAGTGAAATATATCCCTTGCTTATACTTGGATAGAAACCAAACAACTCACTGAAGAAACAGGAAAGTGTGATACTTTCCAGCCACTGCTAGCATACTTTACTAATATATAATAGATTATTGTACCTCATAACTAAATCTGTGCTACACATAGGTCTTACTTGTTATTTTTGTCAGCATAGCTATAATAAATAACAACCACTATGAAAAACAGAAGTTAAGATAATTATCTTGGATGAATGCTGAATGGGGCCAATATGTATATGTATTTCATTAATACTACCCTCTTGATGGTCAGCTGGAGCTGAGAAATGGATCTACTGAAAGTATTGAGGCTGAGAGATGACATGAGAGTTGTTTCAGTGGGATTATACCTGTGAGGACTCAGACACATGAACAAGTCATCCTGCAAACAATAAAGATCCATGGGTGAACCAATTCTGACTCTATCTACATTCAATTCATCATACTATCTATATTCAATTCATTGTGTTTTCCTGTGTTGACAATGCAAGTGTGGTCTACTAGGAATAACCATGTTTCTTGGCTATCTCTTTTCCTTTGTCTTCATATTCTAGTGTGCATAATCCAAGTCCACATAGAGCAAGAATCCCATGAAAGTAGAATCATTCACATTGTCAGCATAGATACCATTGTTTTCCCCTTCTCCATATACTTGAAGCCAAACTTCATCTCCAATTTCCAAATGGAGCAAAACAGAACCAGATGCCTGATCCACATCATTTGTCTGATATTGGTCATAGGTAATGATGACTGCCTTGTCCTTCTTGTACAAGCTGACTTTCACATCTGAGACATACACAGTGAGATGGTATGAAAAATAGTACACACCAGGAATGCTGCATCGAAACTTCCCTGTTGTTACATCATAGTGATTTTGCTCATTGTAGAAGATCTTTGTAAATTTGATAGGAACATTGGGAAAAGGAACTCTGGTTGTTAGACCAACACTAAACGCAGATCGGTAAATGCTGCCACCTTCACCCTTTTCCCCTTTCAGCCCTGGGATTCCATTCAACCCTGGTGCTCCTTGAGGGCCGTCAGCACCAGCAGCTCCTAAACCTCCAGTGTCCCCTTTGAGACCAGGTGTACCTAAGAAGTAAATAGACTTTTGTAAGAGTGTAACATCATTTTTCATACAAAGAATCTCAGTTGGAAAGAAAATATCTATCTGGCTTCCTTTCACAAGGGGCTTAATTAGTAACCCATTGGGGTGGGCATTTCAGTCTGCCCAAGTCTCACTGCTTTCACTCTTATCATATCTGGAGCTCCTCTGGAACAAGTGATTTGAATGGCAGCTTCAATGACCTGTGAGTTTCCATCTACCTCTTCTTGGCCTTCCATGAATAGATTGGTTAGGCTTATTTATTTATTTTCCATACTGCCCAAGGAGCTGAAGCTGTATGGGTGGTTCATGAAGCACACTAAGAAAAAGTAGTCATGTCTAATTTCTGGGACTAAAGTGAATTTAAAAAATAGTTCTATTTTATGTTATGGACTAATGTGAATGTCACCAGTGACAGGTAAACACTGATCCTAAGCATATTTACTGTATGTAAGTCCCTCTGGATTCTGTGAGCCTTATTCCTGGGTAAGCACATACCCAGAAGGTTTGAAACCTTAGTAATCTTCCACTGAAAGCCAGTGTGATGCTGCTGCTAAAAAGCATTTATTATATGGCTTCCTCTTCATTTCTCTTTGGTATGCGATCACTACTACAATATTTTAGACAACTCTGTAGAGGTATGCAGATGAATCCTTCACACATCAAATACCTTATTAGCACAGAATCTAATGCTGACGCCCCAACTCGCTACACCCCTGTGTTGATAGTGAGAAAGAGTCCTATGCACGGTGTCCTGCATAAACCCTATTGGTTACATGGTCTAGCTAATGATCTCAGCAATCCAGTGTTGGGTGTGACTGGATCATGTGCTTGCTTCTGGACTCTTGGAAAGAGCTAGAGTGGGAGGGAAGCTTCAAACTACTGTTAAATTGGTGGGGAATTGTTCTTTGTTGATTGATGAGGCTCTATACCACTCTTACTTCATTTATTTTGTTTCTGTCCTGCTTAGTATCTGAAGCTCTTTGGATGGTAAACAATAGCTTACCAACAAACAAGAAAATACAATATAAAATAAAGCAACACTAAAAAACATCATTTAATTGCATTTTAAAAAACCAAAGCCACAATTTAATAGCAAGCTAATACCAAGTCTGTTTTTTAAAAAGCTGGCAATACTGACATGCCATATGGAGTCGGTAAATGCCTCAGAAGATGGCAGCCTTAAGCTGATACAAAAAGGAAAAAAGCAAAGTTTGTGCCAGGACATCCTTAGTCAGGTGATCATTCCATAATCTGGGGGCTAGCACAGAAAAAATGCTCATCCTTGTTACCAGCAAATGAGCCTTCCTTTGAGGTGCCATGTGAGCTCTATTACAGGAGGACACTAAGGATCAATCATGTCAAACACCTGGGTCATCTCTGCCTTCCAGATTTCAGCCAGGTCACCCAGAAGATCCCCAGGGCCCTCTGGAAGGCAATGGTATCTATTAGCCATTTTCTGATCATAAGAAAGGCAGTGATTCAGAATCCCTCATCTTCATATCATGATCCACAGGTCCATCTGGAAAAACAACAACAAATGGAGCCTGCTCTGCTACATATGTCAGGCCAATAACATGATGGAACAGCTCCATGGTTGTCTATGAAATCCTGCGCCTACCCAGATAAGGTTCTGTCAGCATGGATGCTAATGTCTCCCCAGGACTAACATTCTGGAGGACCTCAGTACTGCAGTTGAGACCACCTCTGCCAGCTTAGAAAGGGAGCGGGGTGGGTGGTACACCAGCCACATCTGTCCCACTAGCTCAGCACTGGATGCAAACACTTCAGACTGGAAGTCAGATAATTAGGAAGCCTGTGGAGAGATCATTCTTATAGACCATGGCAACGGTCTCTCTCCAGTTCTTGAGTTTTCCTTGATGCTGGATTGAGTACCCCAGTGAGCACAACTGGGAGAGACCAATTCCTCTCTGTTTGTCCACTTAGGTTTCAGTGGTACATGCCAGATCAGCTAAAACAGCCACTATTAAATCAAGGAAGGTCATCTCAACTGATGTGGCATTCGAAAACATTATCTAGAGATCTGAGAGCAGGCTATTAGGGCAACTAATCCATCAGGCCTGTGGATGCAAGGAGGAGTAGGACGCAGCATAGCTGGACCATGTGCCCCTTACCTGGCTAGCTATCCCCACAATGCAATATCTCCCTCTTCTTGTCACTGTGCTGATCAGGGTAACTCCAGATAAAAGCCATTTGAAGCATTCTCCTGCCCTACTCTTTATCACTGCCATTTGCAAGAAAGGTGCTTGGGTGGACACTGGAGTGATTCTGCCATGCTCCGCCCTGGCAACTGGAGAATGGAATATTTAAAACGTGCTATTGTATCTTTCCTCAGCCTTCTCTTCACAAGGATAACCATGTCCAGTTCTTTCAATCTCTCTTCACAGGGCTTTGTTTCCAGTCCCCTGATCATGCTTGTTGAATGCTTGTTTCCAGTCTGTCTGCATCTTTTTTGAAATGTGGTGCCCAGAACTGAACACAGTGCTCAAGATGGGGCCTAATTAATGCCAAATAGAGAAGAAACAGTATCTCATGTGATCAGGAAGCAATACTTCTCTTAATGTAGCCCAAAATAGCATTCCCTCCCCCCCCTTTTTTTTGCTGCCACATCACCTTGTTGATGCATATTCAACCTGTTATCTACAACAGTTCCAAGATGCTTCTTACTTGTAGTGCTGTTGAGCCAAGTATCTCCCATCTGTGCATTTGGCCCCTTTTCCTAAGTGTAGAACTTGGCATTCTGTTGCTTTCAGCTTACTCTCTGGCCTATTAAGATCACTTTGAATTTTGTTTCTGTCTTCCAGGGGATTAGCTATCCCACCCAATTTTGTGTCACTTGCAATTCTGATAGGCATCTCTGGAACCTCTTTGTTCAAATCATTAATGAAAATGTTGAAGAGCACTGGCCTCAGAACTCTTCCAGGATACTGCTTGGAGGACTTTCGATGCAAATTTTCATCTCGATCTTACCAGTTATGTAGGATAGACTTAAACCCATGTCATCTTACTGTTCTGACAGGTATAGCTACCTGAACAGAACCAAGTACTGATGCCTCTCACCTTGTTCTCCCTTTTCTCCTTTCTGGCCATCATTCCCATCTCTCCCATCTCTCCCTGGAACTCCATTGTGGCCTGGGTAACCAGGTGGCCCTCTCATCCAGTTTTCACACTGGTCTTTAAGTGTTTGTTGGTCATCTTCCTCAGGAGTTGCTTCCAGGTGGCAGCAGAGTTTCAGCAGCAGCACCAGTGAACACAAAAAGAGGCTCGATGCTTGTTTCATGTTGAATCTAGAATAAGAATGTTCTGCATAAGGAAAAAAAGTACTGCAGAAAACTCAGAATCAGCATGGGGCACAGCCCCAGGGGACATATGCTCTGCAAACAGATGTTTCTTCAGAGGTTGGGCAGAACCATTGCCTGGTAGGATCTGCCTTGCAAGGTTATTTATTTCCTGCATATTTAGCAGTTTCATGTTTGTCACAGTCAGTTCAGAGTACAGAAACGTGGACTATAGAAACCTGACCCTGAGAATGAAATGCAACTGCATAGTTGTTGTTCTAGATTTTTATTTCCAAGAAGAACTATGTGCATTTATAGTTTACAGCTATGCTATGTGCATCAAGTACAAGATTTGGTTCAGACACTGGTTCAGTGATTTGGAAAATAGCCCAATTTGGAGGCTTCCCATTTTGACTTGGACCAAATCTGAATTTCGCCTCACCATGTTCAATAGTGTTTATTTCCACATCAGTGTGTGCATGTTTGCAGTGTGGACTGAGATGCACGGAGAGCTTCCCAACAGAGGGCCCCCAGCACTATCAGTAAAAAATAAGTGCAGCTTGCTATTCTATCTTTCCCTCTTTCATGGACTTTTTTTTAATCCTTGTGGGGAAAATGTGGGAAAAGCAGTGGGAAAACACAGGAGGGTAGCAAATGAAAAGCAATGATGCCTGGAACTCTGTAAAATTCCATGAATTAGGCAGGACAGTTGTGTAATACAGGTCTCACCTGAAGCACTTGCAGTGTTTCTGAAGACTGCACTTGGAGTAACCACATGTTCATGGCCATTCTATGACCAAAATAGGCTTTTTGCTATCCATGTTAGCTCTGCTTGATCCCTGATAAGCCAATTGTTCTGAACAGGATGGAACACTGAAATGACCTCTAGATTCCAGAAACATTATCTCCACAGTATGCATGGCTGAGAATGTTTGGCAGAGAGGGAGGTACGTATTTGGGCATCACACACTTGTTCGGCTTCACTGTCCACAGTGCTAGTTGTCCCAGGCGGATTCATTTTGGTTCCAACACACAGAACAGACATTTGTGACTCTGCCAGCTATACAGGGAGACTGAACCCTCTATACAATTTAGGTGCAGCTTTTAGTGTACACTTTTATTGCAAAATGTGATACAGTTCAATAACATCTTGCATCTCAAATGGTTGGCTTTAAATTTAGGCGTTGTGCAGAACACCTCAACACAACATCAGTATAAAATGGCATTTTAATGTTACTGAATGGCACTCCAATAGCTTGTTTTTGACCATATTCCCTATACCTTTTTTGTAAAAAAAATGATCAAAATGGAGGGTATACCATGCTGTTGTGATGGATAACAGAATATTAAAAAGCAGCTGAAGGATGAGTAAGCTGATGAATTTGACCACAATTACATGCATGCTTACCCTGGAGATAAGTCCCACTATAGACATACTCTATAGCACCTTAGAGTAGGTCTGCAATCTAATCCCAAACTTATTTGGAAAGTAAATACCCATGAACAAATGGGACTTTCTTGTGAGTAAACAAGCACAGTGTTCAGTGTATTGCCCTCATCATCCCATTTATAGTGTGACATAAGCACGGTTCTGGTACAGCTGTACTTAGGATGCGAGGAGTGTAATAACAAAGAGAAATCCACAAGTCCAAGGAAAGTGATGTCAATGCTCAATGCTCCAGGAACAAGTAAACATTTTTAGTAGCCCCATACCCCTTTTCCTTGGCAATACCAAATTTGCTAATCAGTTAGAATAAGGTCTGTCACCAGATTGCACAATGAATGCTGAAGTCTAACAAGGAAAATAAGGAAAGCGAATAACTAATTTGGCACAATATTTACATAATATGACTCCTCCTCTTGGCAATATCCTTCAGTGTAACATACAGACACACACTTTTAAATTGGAATCCTTATCCTCTAAACTATACATAATTTCTAGTTCAGAATTCCATAGAACCCAATGAAACATGGTTTTGAATAAACACACTTAACTATGTTAACTGTTAACTACATAGGCAGACTATGGTGCTTCCAGATGAAGGGTTCCTTGCACTAATAGTCAAAAGGCATCATTTTGTCATATTCTCTCTCCACCTGTCACCTTGATGGATTTTCCAAAAATAGAAGAAGCACAAGGCAGTTCTGAACTGTTGCTGAACCTCCTGTAAAATTCTGTGAATGAAACAGTGTGTTTGCTAATAAAAGTGTCATCAGGAAGTTTTCTAATTTAGTAACCAAGAGAAGCCAGAAAAAATGAATTTTGTTATATTGATTTACCTATCAAAGTGTCTTCTCTGTTCTGTCTTATTTTAAAATTAACTTTTGACTGCTAATTCTACTACCCCCAAAGTACCACACCGTCAACATTGTTTAGGCAGCGACTTCCTAAATAATTGGTTTCTCAATAAAAATAGACAAGAAATTTCCTTTGAAAATGCCTGATATATTCTAATGGTGTAGTGCGGTGCTCTAACAAACTAGCTAAGTGCTTACCAGTTGTTTGGGTGAAGTCCTCCGTGGTTTGCAGTCATATCAGAAATGCAATGGAAAGAATAGCCCCAGTCTCTTATAACAAAGACACATGTGGAACTGTCAGTTAAGATGCCATCCTTTCCTTCTGCTGGTCAGCATGCTGGCTCAGTTCTGGGGACTAATTTACACAGGAATTTATTGTGAGTCTACTGCACCTCTCACATTAGGGTGCTGCACACACTTTCCCCAGTCTGTTTCAATGCTGGATGTAGTTTCCAAAAAAATGCATTTTAGAAACATTGTTTTGTGACTTCTGTTTATTGCAACTTCCCCACGGACTGGGACTTGACTATGTCCTGTGTTTCCAACACAGATAATGCAGTAGAGTTTGTGGCTCATCTCTTGAAATATTTGTGTATGTGTCCCAGCTTGGTGGAGTTTACTAATTAGTGACCTACAAGTAGGATGGATGGAGGTTTTTCCTTCCCACTTCTGAACTGTGTGTCTATATGTGTGTCTAACTAGAGATCTTTCTGTTCCCCATCTGAACCACTCCTGCACAGCTTTGCAGCTCTGCATAACAACATCAGGAAATTCAGCAGCCAAGGGAATACCTTTAACTTCTAGACCTTCTTGACATCTGTGGAGAACAAAAACACAGAAGCAGCTCAAAGCAAGTAACAGGAACATAGATTCCTATGAAGCATTGCCCGGAAAATGACCAACTGTGTGGACACAAATGAGCTGCAGTCAAGTGCTGTGCAAAGACAAAACACCTGAATTGTTTTCCCATGTTTGGAAATATTGCTGCTATACACCCATGCTGTAATGAGCTAAGTCAACTTGAGGTCCAGTTCTGAGGTACAAGTGGGAATGTGTAGCCTAGTCAGAATTTGCTTCTGCATGCATATGAACCTGTGCAGGAGTCTGCAATGGCAGGAATATGAGAGGATTTTATTTACCTTGAATCTGTGAATCTGCACATGTGAATCTGCACATGTGTGAAGAATCAATAAAAAACAATATAGGAGCAAAAGGGGGGAATTCGCCATAGAGCTGTAAGGTTTATACCAACATTGATCCTGGGGTGTGACATGACAGAGCAGGTCAAATGTCATCACAACAATTGGTGATGTTATATTAATGCTGTGAGGGTCTGCCTACATATATCAAACTTAACGAGTTTCAAAGGAAGTTTGTCCCACAAATTGGGATTAATATCAAGTCTACCTCACAATAACTGGCAATATGTGCCATGAGAAGGAAAAAAATCAAGACAATACATGACTAAACTGCATCAGTGACAGAAGATTCTCCTGTGTATCTTAGATCTGATTGTTTTTCTGCCTTTTTTCCAGTTTCAGTCTTAATCTGCAATCATTTTACTTGTGTTCTATTTATAAAAAAGATGAAAATGAACTCAGTTTCTTCCTTGAGCAGTGCCAAGCCAATGACTGTAAGAAGTTGTGTTAGTGGAACAACATGCAACACCATCACCATCAAACAGGCATTCCAGACCAAAGCTGCAGTCCATCACCCAGTTTTGTGGCAGTGTGTCACAATAAACTAATTGGGGCTTACTTCTGAGTAAACATGCATATAATTCAATTTTAATGATATCTTTCTTTATGGCCATCACTCAAGGTATATATCCCGTACGTATCTGGGAAAGGAAGATAACATTTCTCCCCTCTGGTTATACTCTGATTTAAGAGGTTCTCTTTTTTTCCTCACTTTGTCACTTGCTTTAATTTTTTGAATCACCTTAGGCTATTTTTCCATAGACACATTGAACCGTTTATACAATGCAGCAGCCCATGGTTAGCAAACTCTGGGTTGTTTGTGAACATGCATGTGCAAGCAACGGTGCTGTTTCCCGTGTGTTTATCCATTTTGGTTTTACGTATAAACAACCCAGGAATGCCCTGTTCTTAGGTTGTTAGTATATCCAAATCCAGAAACTTTAGGGTTGTTTAGATTTTAAATAACCTAGAATTAACCATAGTTTGTTCATTAACTCTGAGTTGTTTAACCTCTATATAACCCAGTATATCTTGCTTTGATTCTAATGATAACAACTCAGGAACAGGGCATTCCTGAGTTGTTAGAAAAAAAGGAGGACTGAGTGTATGGGAGACAGCACATTCATTTGTTGCCACACATTCATGATTAACATCCCATAGTTAGCCATTACGTGGCAATTGGATTGCCAGGCTGATCCACACTGGTGAGTATATAGAGAACTTTTGCCTTCAGGGTGGATTGAATTAAATAGCCTTCTAGACTCTATCTAATACTATGAAATGTAATATTTCTCATTCTCATTTGGTATTTTGTTTGTCCACCACCCTTGGGGACTTGGCTAATCCTACAATTAATATCTGATAAAACTGATAAATGAATCCATAATGCTTGTTTAACCATCTTGTTAACTTGTCTAAAACAAATTCACGTGAATATATAAGACAAAAATAGACTAAGGTGGGCAGGTTGTAGCCTTCAACATATTCATATATTGTAGCTCATACTATCTCTCACCATCCTTCACTATTAGCTATGTTCATTAGGACTAATAGGAGTTACAATTCAACAACATCAGGAGGGCCAGAAATGGTCCGCCCCTGAACAAGATCAAAACTAAGCTGCTGTTATTCTGATTTGTGTTCACATTCAATTATTTTCAAATTGAATAAGAAAGGCTTTCAGTTCTATTTCCAGATTCTAGTAGATCAATCTATCCCAACCTGGTGTTTTCCAGATGCCTTGGACTTCAGTTCCCTTCAGCTTCAGCCAGCATAGCAAATACTCAGGAATTCTGGGAGTTTTAATTCAAAACATCTGGAACCTTGACAACATAGGTTGGAGAATGCTGTATTAGATATACTGGCTAAGGACTGCATAATATAGGATATGGAGAGAGAAGCATACTCCTCATTCTGCGCAGAGAACTGGTATCATCCAAGTACTTGTCCACCTTTTGACATTTGTATGCCTTTATATTTTGCGTGTACTCAGCTTACTTGTCAGTCTAGGTCTTGGTGCAGCAAACCCCCTTGGTCTCAGTATCAAAGGGAAAATATTACATCTCTGACGCAATGGGTTATATTTGGCAGCACGGTATGGAAGCACTTGAAACATGCTGCCAGACAGCAAGCAAGAACCCTTTCTGTCAAATTAGAACAGTGGTGTCAAGTATTAAACTACTATTAACAACTGCTCTCAGGTTGTTGCTCCTTCATTGGTAGGAAGCAATGCTGAGTATAGAAATCATCCCTGAAATGCATTTTTGTCCATAAGGTATGAATCTATTGCTCAAAGTCTGTGAGAAAAGATAGGTGGACCCATGAAGAAATCCACAAATACCATTTCCGGACACCCCTCACATCACCTACTGTAGGTTACATGTCATAGACAGCCCTCCAGCATGCATAGGACTGCACCCTAAGAAAGAGGAAAGCGATACTTTTGATTCCTAACACTCCAGACTGAAACCCATAACAAGAGCTCATAATAAGAGCAATTTAGGATATACGTATGTATGCTCTTGAAAGTACAGTTTTCAATCTATTTCCTTATTTATATAAAAAGTAGTGTTTGATCCATTTGACCTTATGCCAGGCAATTGTTATGTGCATCAGCCTACGTGAGTTCATGCACAAGCTTCCCGCTGGTATGTCCCCACTCCTCATCCCAACCCTATTCTCCTGGTCTGGCTGTGCAAAGATTGGATGCTTTAGCTTTTGCTTCTGCTTTAAACAAAACATGGCTCCCCGGTGCATCCAAACTGAGGGGAAGAAAAAAAAGTGTTACTTCAGACCTGTCAGGATCAATGTGGGGTTTCCTGCCCTGGCTTGCTCATTATCCATAATTTAAAGTTTCAGCTAAGAGAGTTCTCTGAGTTCAGATGTAACTAGGAACTCCAAAGCAGTTTTTTTTTCAGTTTATCTTACGATTCTTGCATATAATGCTAAAATGTAGGTGAGATTTGATTAGAACTTCCCAGTTGTGTGTGATAATTGTTACACTTTGAAGAGATAAGTGTAGCTTTAACATGGTTGCATAATTATCAGTACTTAACGATTTTTTAAAAAGGGTTGCAGTTTCTTAAAAATCTAATTTAAAAAATTGCTTACCTTCATGGGTTAAATCCAAACTAGGTTAGTCATACTTTAGTCCCATTGAAAGCTTGCTTATTTATTTATTTATTTATTTATTTATTTATTAAAAGCTTGTGTATGCTGTCCTATTATACAAGATCTCAGGTCAGCTTACAATTTTTAAAAGGACAATTAAAACAACAATTTCAATAATAAAACAGAACAAAACAATAAACCAAACAGAGTGACTAAACTAAAAAACTGTTAGAGTTTAAAATACTGTTTAAATAAAAAGGTTTTGGCCTGGCACCAAAAAGAGTATAAGGTTGGTGCCAGGCGTACCTTTCTGGGGAATACATTCCAGAGCCTGGGCGCCACAGCAGAGAAGGCCCTACTCTGAGTTGATGACCTTTTTACCTCTCCTCGAGAGGGTTCCTGGATTAGGGCTTCTCCCATAGATCTTAAGGGGTGCGAGGGCATATAAGGAAAGAGATGTTCCTTCAGGTATCCTGGTCCCATGTCATGTCTTCAAGTGGCCTGTTGATTTCAGAAGGACTAAAGCATAGTTTAATTTAGATATGAGCTACTGAGTTGCAGATACGTAGATTTTCATCAGTTTTTCAGGGTATGCTAAAGATTGACTGTTGAAATTGTGGGTCTTAGTGAATCTATACTCAGAATACATGTTCAGCATTATGTGGATCAGGACTCCTTTAGTAACATTTTAATTGTAATCAAAGAAGGGTGTTTAAAGAGGAGGAAAAATATGATCTCTGCACCACCCCTATCCTTTTTATGGATGCTTATGGGTGTGTGCACACACACACACACACGTGATTCTAATCAGTCATAGTGATGGTATGAACCAGAAGGTGGCAGTCACTATATGAGTTGACACTGAGTACGAGAGTGTGATAAGGTTGCCACTTCTTTTCTTCTGAGAGAGA